AAAAAAAAACAAAAAAAACTAAAACTAAAAAAGTACAAAATAAAAAGGTTGGCCAAGGATTTGGACCCTCGACCTTATATTTAATTTTAAAATAAACTATCATTAGACTGTCTTTTTTACTTGTTATTAAGGGGGTTCAATATATATATATATCCACATAAATCTAGAAAATATATCTTATATATAATGTGTAATTTTTTATCGAGAAGATTCGGATAAATTTTTGAATGATACATGGGTCCGCCTCTAATTACACACTATTAAGAAAGTACATTATTGAAGATGGTTATAACATAACAATAAACGTATTAAAATAGTACTAAATATAATGTACTAAATTCTCAAATACTTTTTATTAAACGACTTCGGAAAAAGGCACAGTGGCTAAAAACAGAACAAAGGGACACCCTCGTTACTGCAATGATGAGGCAAAGTGCAAATGGGAATTTAATAGCAGAATCAGTCCATTTGTTTTGTAGCAAAAAAGGTGTAGAGACAAAGGCAAATACTGGTTCAATTCAAATCAATTCAATTCCTACACCAACTTTAAATTTTTGACCATAAGTAAAATGTGGCTGCCACCACTTGCCTTTATTAAAGTATATATGTATAATATAAAGTATATTTTTCATTGTTTTGTTTGATTCTATAAAAATGTGTGTGTGAATGACACATATTTTGCTAATAAAATTTGATTAATATATTAATATTTTTAACCAAAAAAATTGAGGTTCTTATTAAAAAATAGATCTTGAGTTTAAATATTTAATTTTTTTAAAAAAATTATCACGTAAAAATTATCCAAATCATATTAAAGAAATTACATATTTTTTTAAAGATTTGATATGAGACTCTTTATGTCCCAAACGGAACATATGATGTGTAGATAATTTAGTATGGGGACCTAGGATTAAATATGAGAATTTTCATGAGTCGTGCACTAAAACTATATTAAGAAATGAATAAGCTTAATTCTATCTAAAAAAAAATAAAAAACTAACTAAAAAGTGAAAATTATCCAAATTATAATTTTACAAATATTTCACATTTCTTATTCGAAGTACACAATTATAGAAAGTAGCTACCGTAATATAAATGTTCAAACAAAAGTATCGTCATAACTATTGTTCGTTCAACGATCTTCTGCAAATTCTCCTTTTGGGGTACTGTATTTTGATGTTGGCGTCACTTCTTATAACAAAATCCCTTTAAAAAGTATACCTTACGTAGGGGTGTGCCGTGTGCTTTACTTGATTTAATTTGATTTTACGGAAAATGGATCCCCTTCAATCTATGTCCGAAGTTCGAGAGACACATTTATATTATTCTAAATTCATTTTATGAGTAATTTTCTATCCTTTTTTGGCCTACGTGGCAGTATCTTAAAAAAAAAAAATCAATCAGGTAGGCCCAAAAGATAGTACCACATAGGCTGAAGTAGAAAATTATTAATAAAATAAGTTTGGGATAATAGAACCTTAATATAGTATAAGTGTGTCTCTGAGATTTCGAACATAGATTAAAGAGATATTTATATTTTATCTCTTGATTTTATGTAATTTTTTATTTAGGGCGACATGACAAAAATGTAAATTTATGTAATGCTAGTATACAATAGAAATAGTAGTACTTAACATGAAAAGAACCATAACACAAATAAAACAACAACAACAATAATATGAATTAAAGTCTAAAGGACAAATATACAACAAACCTATAAGATACTGATAATTATATATTTATGGAGGAGTAAAGTACTGTAAATTACCACAATCTTAGTTGGTTATTGATTTACCCAATTTCTAAAATTTTAAAAAATGAAAACCGATAATTCAATAATAATTTAAAAATGAAAAACCATTAAAACCCTATTAATTCAATAATTTAATAGTAATAAACTAATAAATATTTTTATCTGTTTGATTTCTACAACCTTAACCTTATGTTTCAGTTTTAATTATTTCCTTTCTTAAAAAAATGTCATGTGTTTATATTTAACATTAGTTTAATTTATAGCTATATAAAATATTCAACACGTCTCATTCACAAAGTTTCAAATATCTTTTCTCTATTTTTTTAATTAAGAAATCTAAATATATGTATAAACCAAAACTAATGAAATAATTAATACTCCTATAAATGGCAAACGGAAATGGACGGATGAAGTCTTAACTTGCTAAAGAGTAGAGTTTTAATTGAACTTTCCTACTTTCAAACTTCAAAGTCAATGGCTTAATAAGAAAAGGGAAACTAAAACGTATAAGCAAATATATATGAGTTAATCAGTCATATATCAATAGTTTGTTATAGTTATGATTCACGGTCTATTTTTAGCTATAATTACATGACTCAATTTTTTAGTTTTGTATAATTGGGACGTTTGTATAATTCGAAATTTATGTAATATAATTTGTATAACTATTTACACTTTGATGTTTGTAATCGTATAAATTTGAAATTTATACAAAAACAATTGAATTATACAAATATATCCGCGAATTATACAAGCAAGACAACTTAAACTGTAACTACAACTCCTATATATACAAATTATAGCTATGAAGTATGATTAAGCTTATTATAATAGCTATTTACGAAACTTTGAATCAAGAAATGACCCCAACCGAATTTCAACAAAATCTTTTAAAACGTGATAGAATTTGAAGATACAATTCAAAATGATTATGCGGAATTACTGAAGACATTATAAATAATAAATTCATCTGAAATACTTATACATATAATGAAAGACAAGTGTGATATTCTCTCGAATATATATAGACAATCTTGCTGAGAAGATGTTCCAATTTTCCACTCTTTTAAGTAATATCATATAAACTCATTCAGAAATACAATGAAAAGTTTGTCTTTATACATAATCTTTTCAAAACTAATGAAATAATTAGTAATTTTGGGGAAAAAATAATTAGCATGACACAAAGTTAACCAACCGCACTCGATAGATTGTTGACGCACACGACAAAAGGTTTATTTTTTCTAAAAATGAGTTATGTGGCTCAATTTTAATTTTGGACACTTAATGCCTACATAACGTACCTAATAACATCTCCATCATTATATTTTAAAAGAAAAATAGTCGGTTTCGTTTTATTCTTCTTTTTAAGCGTTTGCTTCTTTTCATTAAGTTTTTAAGTAAAAGGTCAAAATTACATCTAGAGTACTTTATATTTTTTTGTTTCGTTATTTAAAGGTTAAATACATAAAAAGATTTTTAAATTTGTTGAGTTTTTTCTCTCAGGTACCTCAACTATGAGATTTTCCTATTGAATCATCCATAATTTGTTTCGTTTAAACAAAACCGTTGTATGATGTGGAATCATATTTGTGAGGGATATTAATAGAGGATACATATGTTTTCCAGAACTCATTAGTCCAATTGATAGTGAAAATGTTCGATAATAATTGTATTTTACTTAAGTCATATGAACACATTAGAAAACAAATGAGACTAACATGATTTGTCTTCATTCCTTCAAACAAAATCATCACAATTCGAACACAATTGAAGACATTTATAATAGAGAAGCCGATCAAAATCAACCAACAGTGTATTAAAGGAATAAATTATGGTTGATTCAATGATTCAATAGGAAAATGACGTAGTTGAGGTACCTGAGGAAAAAAACCCAACAAATTTAGGATTTTTTTTTTATGTATATGGCCTTATTTAAATTATTAAAATTGTGAATTTTCTAACTAAACTTATTATATACGCTGACTAGACAAAAAAAGAGAGTATTATATATATATATATATATAAAAGTGAAAGGATAAACAAAATTCAATCTAATAAATAAAAGGTCTAGCCTATCGGTGACAACCTAAACTTGCACAAATTTTCACTTTGACACTTTAATTAGATTTTGTTCATTTTAGACACCTTATGTCATGTCTCTTTATATTTTTTGAACATTTTTTTAACAATCAGCCAAATATGTAAGATATGTGTAACATAATCACCGATGACATGTCAAAGTGATAATTAAATAAAGACATATGACATATATGTCAAAAATAATTTTTAACTAATGAATTTTGTATTTTAAAAAAAAAGGCAATCACGCAATTAACATTTGCCATTTTTAAAGCCTAAACAATTTAAAAAAAGTCGTACATCCCCCCAAGCCCACCCCACCCCACCCCTGATTTCCAACCCCTTTCCCACCACCTGATCACCAACCCCTTCCCCCCATCCAAACCATCTTCCCCATCAGCCACACCACCCGAACTCCTCCTCTCCTCCATCCAAATCGTTTTCTCGATAAAATCCTTTTTTCAAGTTTATGATTAGTTCTTTATTTACTATGCAAAACTCGCTTATTTAATTGTTTAATTGTTTTTCTCTATTATTTCTATGTTTTTTCATAAATCAAAACAATTATTGTTTGATTTACTATAATGCTGATTGTTTTTGTTTTAACTAATTAACATTATCAAATCTATTTTTCATGAAAGAAGTTTAAATTTTGGGAGATAATGCTTAAAAAGTTTGGGAAAAGGACAAAAAAAGTAGAATAAAAAATGATTAAATAAGCTTTTCATGCGCTGGTAGTGAATGTATCTCACTTATTATGTCATGTCAGTAAAAAATATCAAATTAACACAACAAGGCCTGACATGAGATGTGTCTAGAATGAACAAAATATAATTAAAGTATCTAAGTGAAAATTTGTATTAAGTTTAAATTGTCATTGATGAATTAATCTTGAATAAAAGAAAGACATTTTGAATGATTTCTAATACGTTAAGAATATTTGTACAAAAAATTTAAAATACTTTTGATACAACTGATCAAACTTTCGATAAAAATTAATATCATTATAATTAATCCAAAAATATCTTTGTCATCTCACTAACTACCACTATTACAGAACGTAGAGTAGTTTGTGGTAGTAATCATGAAAATGAAAATAAAATCATTTTATTTTCTCAAGACAGCTAATTTTCTACTTCTATTGTTTTTTTTTACAAAAAGAAATAAGGAAATGACAACACTCAAAAAGTGTAAAGCAATTTTAGGCATATATACCAACCTACATATTCCCCCTCGTGCCTTTAGCTTAATTACAACTCTACCCCGAGAATAATCTATTTTTCTGCTCACTGTTCTCAATATATCTCGTAATTTCACCAATCTTCAAGGGCATTTTCAGCACGTCCTCCCTCTTCCACCACCTCGCCACCTTCTTCCTCCAAATTCTCCATTAACACACATCAATACGTTGACGTTTTGATATTTGAACGATGCCGGAGATAGAAAGGCATAGAACAAGGCATAACCGACCGGCGATTCGAGAACCGGTGAAACCGAGAGTACCACTGAGACTATTGTTACGAGTAGCTTCGGTTGCCGGTGGAATTCAATTCGGTTGGGCGTTACAACTATCGCTGCTCACACCTTATGTGCAGGAGCTTGGAATACCGCATGCTTGGGCGAGCATAATATGGCTCTGTGGACCGCTTTCAGGTTTATTGGTTCAGCCTTTAGTAGGTCACATGAGTGACAAGTGCACAAGTCGGTTCGGTCGTCGGCGTCCGTTTATTGTCGCCGGAGCAGCATCTATCATGATTGCGGTGTTGATTATCGGTTTCTCCGCTGATATTGGATGGCTTTTAGGTGATCGAGGTGAAATAAAAGTGCGTGCTATAGCGGCGTTTGTTGTAGGGTTTTGGCTTCTCGATGTTGCTAATAATATGACTCAAGGACCTTGCAGAGCTCTGCTTGCTGATCTTACACGTAAGCTTTTCAATTCAATTTTACAGCTTGATTTTCATTTTTTCCCGATTTGTTTATTGCTTGTGAATTACTCTGCTTCTGCTGCTTCTTTTTTACGCTGTTCAATAGCTTAAATTGAATTAACCAATCCACTGAGCTATTAAGATTTAACCAATCCACTGAGCTATAAAGATTTCGCTTCACCTGTAACTTATCATTTGATGAATTTAATTGTTTAGTGCTTTTTGAGGAAGATGAAGCTTCAAACATCTTCGTCAATTATCTAATGGAATGTTTAGCTTTCTTCAGCACTACTCCATAAGAAATGGAAATGCAATAGATGTGTTGTTCTACTTTTTTTGTGACGGTAAAAAACGTATGAGGCGCACTAGTTCAGCTCAAGTAGACAGAAATATCCCGGCACCGATAGTGCAGTGGGACCCCCTCTGTATCCTAAAATTCTCTCATTCTCTCTCTTCTCTTTTTTACTCCTTTTAATTAAATATTAGTGGCTGATGTACACCTAACTGAGTTGAGCCATTACGATCATGGGGGAGCATCGTTAGACTATGTTTTACATTGTTATTAAAAAATTCTTATTTTTTAAAAGCATTTTCTTAAAATAGCTTTTCGTAATTGAACAATAATAATAATTTGTGTTTAGTTAATTTATTTGAAAATTGCTTTTGATAAGCACATTGTGTGTAAGTAATTTTTTTTTTTAAAAAAAAGTAATTTTGAGAATCAAATTATGAAAAAAGGACAAATATTAATGAACTTTTAATATTAAGATTATTTATAGAGAGACATTATTTTAAATATCTTTTATAAATTTTTTTAAAATTTTTATTATAAAATGTATATATTCAAATTTTCAATCAATATGACACAAATAAAAAAGATAAATTTTGATAATATTAATATGATGTATTTATAATTAAAATAAAAATATCAAGCAAAATAAATTTTAAATTATTTCACAAATTAAATCCACCAAAAAATAAATACTCTTTGTCTCTAATGACTTGTCTACATTTCCTTTTTTAGTTGCCCCTAATTATTTATTCATTTTGACAAAGAAAGCACAATTTTTTTCTCCCCTCAATTTATTACTTTGAAAAATGTAGCACTTCTTGAAAATTGTAAGTTTTTAAATCATCCATTTCATAATTAATAGAGATAAAAACCTAAACTCACGATATCAATTATTGTTTTCTTAATAGGTTAGTCAAGTCAAAAGTGGATAAGTGATTAGAAATATAGCACTAAATATAAGGGATATATTGATAAATATTTTTATATGGTAGGGATATGTTGATCTTAAAAAATATAATTTTCTGCTTCTCTTTGCTTTTTTGATGGACTAAGCTATATTATCCGCCAAATTATATTGACTAAGCTTATTTTATCTGCCAAGAGTGGATTTGAAATTTTACTGAGCAGGATCAAACAGTTTTGAGAAGTTCTCTCTTATGGAGTATTTATGTAATTGTTATAGTGATCACTTTGACAATTCATTGTACAGTTGGAATAGAGTACTACGTCTTGGAAATTTAACATACATAGAAGCTAAAAAGAATACAAGTTACAAATCTACTAATTCAAAATGACTAGATAATCATTTAAAAAGTTTAGCACACTTTTCATCCTTGATATGTGAAGTAGGACTGCTAGTTCCAGTAAAACACTTATATTTGAATTGTGGTTTCTGTTGCCATAACCTTTACTTATGGTGCATGACTAAAGATAATTCAAAAATGCGTAACAATTTTTCAAGTTCTTATAACTCTTTCTTCATGAATCATTTGTACATACATGTCAATAAGGTTTTAGATAACTCTTCAGATTTGCACAAAATGGTGCAAAATTTGAAGCCACTTAGCATATTGTGATAAATCATTGCACATCTTAACAGGGGTAAAAGTCAAGTAAATAAAGGTTAAATGCCACTGTTTATTTAATCATGCCTGGGAAGGTCACTACCACTGTCTCCACTCAACATCAATTGATTTTTGCTTCCATTGCTGATACACAATTGCATGTGAAATTAGATAACTGTAGACGAGGTAAATGCTAAGGCCGTAGAAGTCATACATATGATACTTAAAGAAGGAAGAAGTAGGGAACAATTCATTTTGGAGAACTAGTATTTGATAAAGCAGTTGTCTGCCCCTTGTGCAGTTGCACTGGGCTTCATTCTTGTGGTGTAAAGTTTTGATAAAAAATGGATTTTTGTGTATTTTTCGTATAGACAATCGAAAACTTTTCATTGACAAAAAATTATTGTCCATTCCACTGCTGAAAGTAGCAGAAACATTACGGTTGGAAAAGAGCGCTGATGTTAATTGGGAATAAATCATTCCTATTAATTTACAGTTGGTAGTTCAAACAATTAAAGGTGAAAAGATCATATGCCACTATTACTTATTATGGTCACACTATTGTTTCTTCTTTGATCAGATTTCTCAAAATCATATTATTTTAATAAAACATAGATCATGTATCTCAGTGAATCTATATGAGTTTCCCCTTTTTGCTTTAGTCCTTTTCACTATTGGTTCGAACTAGTATAGCGCAGTGAGAGGAAGGCTCAATGGTGCAATGTTTGGCACTAACTATATCATAGTCCTTGACATTATCCACTTAACATGTCTAGCCTGAACATGCCAAGGAGATATGGCTTTTTATTCCATCCTTTGACTTGATTATTAATTCTTGACAGAGTAAGAACAAACTCATCATGTCTGGTCAATTTCCTATCAAAAGCTAAAAGCCTGCTCTATAAAACGGTAGGTCCTGAATCCACAACATTTGCAATGGTGAGTTAAACAAGTAAGAATCATCTTTTACTATGTATCCATCTGTGAGCTGTTTCTTTTGATAAGGTATTATCCAAGCAAGTACCCAGGAGGTACTGCAAAAAGGAAAAGGACAGAATTACACAAGTCTTGAGAAGACAACAATCATTCATCTCAAAGAGGTTACCAAATTTAGCACAACTAAAGTTCATCAATTTCCTTTCGTTAAAGCAGTAGATTATGCATTTGTACTTAACAGCTGCAATCTGCTTCCCCTCTCCATCAAAACATTTTCTGTTTCTTTCCAACCAGATACTCCGCACACTGTACAGAGGGGATGTCCTCCATATTTTCTCAGTCCAGATTTCTGCACTTGCCAGATTAATACAAAACTATTCAGATCTCGTGGCATGACCCAATGCACTACAAACACACATAACAAAACTGTCCAAATCTGCCAAGAAAATTTACAGGAATAAACAAATGGTTAGTTGATACCACTTCCCTTTGACGCAGCCAAGCATTTCTAGTTTCCACCCACCTAAAGAAAACAATTTTAGATGGTGCTTTTGTCTTCCAAATCATCCATCTCTGAACTGTTTATATGAGACAAACAAAAGCTAGTTTAAGTCTTGGTATCACATAATTTGAAGCATTGGGGGTTCTGGAATTTTACTTTAAGTTCAAGTGCTTGAGTGAGTGATGGACTACAGAGGTGATTTCGAGAGGGGAGAGAGATAACAAGGGGTAATGGGAGATGTGTGCTTGTGGCGGTGTGGATTTTGGGCAAACATTATTCTTGGAGCATGAAATATCATCATCACCTTCTTTTCTCTCTGAGATTAGATTTTGAGCTAATTTCCCTAGAGATATTCAAAATCTAGCTCTTACAGGAGCCTTTACCAACAGCAGTGAAACAAAATCAGAATTCACTAGTTTTCTTTATCCCCTCGTGCAGGATAGAATAGGAAGCATTTGCTTGTTACTGAGAAGATTGTGGAGTCTTATATCTCAAAAAGAAATGATTATGGAGTCTAATGATTAGGTCTACTTTGTCTACATACACTGTGTGCTCCTTGTTCCTTTTTACTCTAAGTTTTAATTAGTTGTTAATAATATTATATACCCTATCTAAAGAGCTAGTAAGACCTCCTAAATTTGCGTAATATCCTCACTTTGTTGAAGCTAACTCACGTATCCAAAATTCAAAAGAAAATCTTATTTTGTCGATTTTGACCTCTAGTTTCAGCCATTTAGGAGAAAGTAATACTGAAGTTCATTTTATGGATTTTAACCCCCAGTCTCAACTATTTAGGAGAAAATAACACTTAAGCATAAGAAAAGACATAATGGTGAAAATGGAGGCTACGGTCTGTCGATGCTTATGGGGTTTGAAGAAGAGGACCTCCATGGGATGATGAATCTATGGTCCTATTCCAGAGATGATACAGCCACCAAAAGAAAAGGCTTTGTAGAGCTTAATTTTTCAGGGCGAGATATATCAGTTATACATTTTTGTAGGACTTCATTGTCATTTATTTGTGCATATTTATATCATGAATTTGCCGTCAAACTAGTGACACTTCCTCTGCTCTCTAATATGCAGAAAAGGATCACAGAAGAACTCGGGTAGCAAATGCATATTTTTCCTTATTTATGGCCATTGGTAACATCCTTGGCTTTGCTACTGGATCTTACAGTGGCTGGTACAAGATCTTCCCTTTTACTCTCAATACTGCATGCACCATCAACTGTGCCAATCTAAAGGCTGCTTTTATTCTCGACATTATTTTTATTGCAACAACAACATGCATTAGCATATCGGCGGCCAATGAGCAGCCTCTAGATCCCAGTCGTGGTTCCTCTCATACTGGAGAAGAGATTGACGAATCAAGCCATGGTCAAGAAGAAGCTTTTCTCTGGGAGTTGTTTGGTATTTTCAAGTATTTCCCAGGTGTTGTTTGGGTGATCCTGCTTGTCACTGCCCTGACATGGATTGGATGGTTTCCATTTCTTTTGTTCGATACTGACTGGTTTGGTCGAGAAATTTATGGCGGTGAACCAAATGACGGAAAGAATTATAGTGCAGGAGTGCGGATGGGTTCATTGGGTCTAATGTTGAATTCTGTCCTTCTTGGACTAACTTCATTGTTCATGGAGAAGCTCTGTCGAAAATGGGGGGCTGGTTTCACATGGGGAGTTTCTAACGTGGTCATGTCTCTCTGCTTTATAGCCATGCTTATAATTACTGCTGTTAGGAGTAACATAGACATTGGCCAGGGTCTTCCGCCGGATGGAATTGTGATTGCTGCGCTGGTTGTATTTTCTATTCTTGGGATCCCACTAGCTGTAAGTTGCTTTATTTTGAAGTCACAGCCAGAAGTTATTTTGCACTATTACACAGGTTTATGTGTAGAACTAATTAATTTAAAGCACCTCTAAACCACTTATATTCTTAATCTTCAAAAAATTTTAACAGCAGGGGTGGTATATGTGCTGAGTTTTGGTTTGCAGAGTTTGTTACTGTTGAAATGTAACATAGAAATTCGGTCTATCTGAAATAATCTTTTCATGTAAGATGCCTGGAAAAGGCAACACGATACAAAAAGAAATTTGAGGTTACTGTTTCAAAAGGATTTAGTTTTAGCACAAGTTTCATGGTGGCTTAGAAGAGAGCTTTATTTATGTATATTATTGTATAATGCAAGTCATTTTCTGCAGATAACGTACAGTGTTCCATATGCTTTAGTATCCTCAAGGATTGAAGCTCTTGGGCTTGGACAAGGTAGATTGAGTTTTGTCTATTTTGATCAATATTCTGTAGGTCAAATAGAAAATAGAGCATCAATTACAACTTCAACCTTGCAGGCTTGTCAATGGGCGTGCTGAACCTGGCAATTGTGTTCCCACAGGTATAAATTTTGCTCTGTTTCTATGGGTTTTCACCAAAACAAGAACACTCTCTAGAGAGTGGTTCCAAAAGAAAATAAAAAAAATCATAGCCTTTATGTAGATTGATGTGCCACAGGTGCATTGTGTTGCCTCTTGCCAGTTTGCTCTTGTATCTGTTATCTGTTGAGCCCTTGGTTAGAGCTGAAAAAAAATGAGGCAAGGAGTGGAGGTTATAAATGATAAAATCTAGAGTACTTTCAAGCGAATACAGAACATTATTATTCTAATGGGTGTTTCCACAAGGAATTTTAGCTGCACCTTTGCAGCATGTGTCTTATCATTTCCTGAAGTTATATAGGCCACTGAATGAAAAATATTGTCATTGGTTGCAGATTGTGGTTTCACTGGGAAGTGGGCCATGGGATGAGCTATTTGGTGGAGGCAATTCACCAGCCTTTGTTGTGGCTGCGCTTTCAGCATTTGCTGGTGGACTTATAGCCATCTTGGCAATTCCTCGAACACGGGTTGAGAGACCCAAGATCTTTGCATGAGGTAAGCTGCTAATGTCTCCGTTTGTACTCCTTTCTATTCTCTGCTTGTCCACCACATTTAAATTATCTATCTCCAGTTTTCTGAAGAGCAGGCTGTTGAACCAACTTTTCCCACTTAAGGACCTTTAATAGGGCTCAAATTTTCGCTAAGAGTATCCAAAATATAAAAAAGTGAACACACAAAGAAGCTAATGGGATTCAATATTTACTATATATATATATATATATATATATATATATATATATATATATATACACACACACACACACA